ATCGGCGACAGGCGCTGGAGAAGCTCCTGGTCATGCAGCGTGAAGACATCACCGAGTCTTGGCGTTCTTCTGGTTGGCTCTTAGGACTTTAACTTTTTGGGTTCCTAGATGAACTATAATAAGGAGGCGAAAAGTTTAACTTTTAGGAGGGGTTCAGAAGTCAACCAAGGAGTTGTTCAAAATTATGGACGGACTGCCCGTGACGGTGCGCTTACTGGATCCTCCACTGCACGAGTTCATCCCGCTTCTCGGCCTTTGAAGAGAATCATTCTTGGAATTATCTGGGATTCACGTGCAAAAGACTAGATAAGCAGGAGCTTGTCTTTCGCCTGAGTCCTAGTCTGTCCAAGGCACACGGAAGCCGAGATGGCACTGGTGGCGAAAGCTGCAGGCGTTCCCCTGGAGCGGGTGCGCAGGCGCGCTGCAGAGCTGCAGGAGGCCAATCCCATGCTGGGCCATCGTGGCTGCCGACTGGCCATCACCTATCCGGAGATCTGCGAGATGCAGGCGCGAGCCATCTTCGAAGCTGCAGCCGAGGTCGGCCGAAGCTCCAAGAAGCTGCCAGTGGCAGAGGTCATGGTGCCACTTGTGGCAACCGCCGAAGAGCTGAAGCTGCTGAAGGGAGTCATTGAGACGACGGCAGATGCAGTGAAGAAAGAGCAGGGAATCACCTTCAGCTACAAGGTGGGCACCATGATTGAGCTTCCTCGCGCCGCTTTGCAGGCTGGAAAGTTGGCAGAAATGGCGGAGTTCTTCAGCTTTGGCACCAATGACCTCACGCAGACCACCTATGGCTTGAGCCGTGATGATGCTGGATCCTTCCTGCCTGAGTACAAGGCCAAGGGAATCGTGGAGACGGATCCCTTCGTGTCCCTTGATCCCGACGGCGTCGGCGAGCTGATCACCATGGCAGTGGAGCGCGGTCGCAGCACCAGGCCCCACATGAAGATGGGCATCTGCGGCGAGCACGGTGGCGACCCTGCTTCCATCGAGGTCTGCGAGCGCATCGGCCTGGATTACGTGAGCTGCTCGCCTTTTCGC